TTCTACTTTTGTTTACTTCAGTACGACGTCCTTCAAACTGTCCAACCTTCAAAAATATATTAAATTCTTTCTATTTGCGTGCTAAAGCATATGTACAAAAAAACATAAACCTTATCACTCTCATTATGGAAAGTGATTATTTACGTACAGGCACACTAATTGTAAGACACGCTAGCGGTTTTGGGTGTGACTCCCTTGGACGTTTATTTGAGAATAATTGGTAAAGTAAAACGATTCTGACACCTCATCCGTTGGACCGCTTTCCTGTATGATGAAAATGATTCATAACTTGTTCATAATTTCTTCTTGAGAATCTGCGGGATGATGTACTTGCCGTTTGATTTGTTAGTTCTAGTCTGCCTATGTTTTGATATGTCAAGCGCATTTCAGCATCATGCCATCATCATCATCATCATCATCATTGTACATTACAGTTCGGGTACTCAAAATTTAATTGGCGAAATGCAGAACTACTTGACTTCGCGCTGCTTAGTTTCGTGTGCGCGGCCAACATGGACTCCATGGGCCCAGAACCCTACCGCGGCTTAGCAGCCTGCCACAAAAGAGGATATATGTAAAAATGGATCATTAATGAGTCCAAAACCTAATGGAACAATAGCAACAACCACAGGTATGAGGCCCGCGAAGACATTCATAGAAGAACCATCCGCAGAACTTACAAAAGAATTACTGGAAGGCAACCGCAGCCGAACCAGGATTCTGGTTGGACGCCTGACAGGACATTGCCACTTAAGAAAGCACACGCGCCGGACAGCAGTACAGACAGAAGAAACACTGTGCAGATACTGCCAGGAAGAGGAGAAGACCGCAGATTATGCTTCTGTGAAGGTCTATGTAGGTGCAGGTTCTTGCAACTAGGACAAGAAAAACCGCAAGCAAGATTCTACGCTAAGGAGCCGCTGGCAAAGCTATGGTAGCTGATTAACAACCTGAAGCTGGCCGTGAGTTTTAAAAAACAGGGGAGCACAATAGATCTATTCAGGTCGAGGTGCAGAAGGTCTTATGGCCGCCTCTTTTATCCCTATCCCTTGAGAACAAGACACAAGACAACAACAACTGCTCGTGGATCTTTTTCGAAGCCGAATAGGCTTTTGATCAAGTCTGGCACCTGGGTTAGCTCTGGAATCTCATGGGCAACCCACCTTCTACACACTTTCCCATGTAGTCAAGTCTTACTTGGCCGCCAGTTACTTAAAAATACGGGTCGAGCCCTGTCGCACTTTTTTATACAAGGCGGACGCGCATGTTATTCCTGCAGTATTACTGAACTGAGCGTAAACCTGTGATATCCCCTCCCGGCCTGACATCATTAACCTAGCGTACTGTCAAGACTGCATGATATTTTATTAGTCAACTCCGACCAGGTTACAGCTCATCCCCCCCCCCAGGTACACCCTATATTGGTTCAAAAAATGGTGAATCAAACTCAACAACAAAATCCTAAGACATCACCTTCATTCCCAATCATTATAAGCTCACCTGCTTTCTACAAAAACGTCATCTGCTACGTTAGCCTTTATCTAGTCAAGCGACTGACCTGGAATCCCCATACATGACTGAACCCATTACTTAAAATACTACTAGTCGACAGATCTAAATTCTCTTTTGACAAAAAATACAACAATCAATATTGAAATCAAGATGGACGACAAGATGGGTTCCACCGAACCTTCCAATCTCCACACAATCCAGATCCTATAATAAGACCTAAATGTTCCCTAATATAAAAGATGTTTTTCAAGGTCCAGCTACAAAAAATACCACACAATCTCAACTTAACCCTTACGTACAACTTTCATCCCCATCTCTCCCCCATAACCAAACTCGACGTCTAAGAGACAATGGCTTTGTGACTTGCTCTTGGAGAGTGAGAATGATTATAATTAGCCAATGATTCATATGATTTATCTAAATTCATGGAGTTATTTAACTTTATTTTGTAAGATACGGTCCAATCTATGTCTATTTAAGAAATATAAAAGGTTAAATGTACCTAATTAAAGTTACGTGGAGTTAATTGACCACAAGTCAAGTTAACCGATGAGCATAGAAATGTTGGGTAACCCAACATACCACCAGGTTGTTGCATTGAGATGAACGGTTATTTTACTCAGCGGGGCTAATTTGGAACCTGGACGGTGAAAGTCCAAACGTAGACTAGGTTCAAGGCGAAAGTCCGTTTATCCCTTCGAAACACGGAAGGAAAAAATCAATAAACTGGGTATACAAACTTGCAGTGAAAAAAAAATGTAAACAAGGGCCTTTCTAAACTAAAAATCAGTGTGAGTGAAAATAACAATTAAAAGAAAAATAATAACGTTTTACCTTTTTCAAGTTGTTATTAATCTCGGTGAACTGAGTGAAAGTAAAAGGTAAAGTTACGTTTGATTCAAAATGGATGGAAATCATCTATTTTCTTCCTTCGTACTCACACTTTCCTTCATACTAATTTGAATTTTAATGTCTGTTATGCTAAAAGATGTTCGTAGATCGACTTCCCCATCCATAGTAGAGAATGAGGTTTGAATTGACTTTCTTTCTTATTTCTGATATAACTTTAAAATGAAATGTGCTCTATTCCCTTTCCAAAACGTTTACGTTGATAGAATTTTCTATTGTAAAATGGATTTTGGACAGGGATTCTATAAACTAATAGAAAACGGTTAAACTCCTCCTTCAAAAATATCGCAACATCTATAAATTTCGATTTTTTTAACGTTTTTGGCCATTTATTTATTTATTTACGGCAATATTTTTGGTTCCGGGAGAGCTACTGAGGAAGCATTCGTGGACTATATAGGAATGGAAAAAGTCCTAATTACCAATGAGACGAGAGTACCTCAACTGTCCAGCCTGGAAAACGTCTGGAGAACAATACAGGCAGTGCAACACGTGGAAACAGTTACATTGGAAGATCTTTCATGTTCTGGGGCGGCAGTTGGTACCAATCTTATCCTTGAATGACTACATGGGGAGATGTTCTACAAGATCGTGAAGTTCTTTTATCATGCCTTTCCTAGACTCTTATTGATGATATGATAATGCTAGGGCACATAGGGTTACATGTGTTTTTGAGTAGCTGAACACCATAGCTATCCACCCCTAGATTGGCTAGCAAGAAATTGAGTCTTAACTCAATCGAGCAAGGTCGTAACAATCTTAAAAAGTTCAGTCCCTACTACTTTTGAAATTCTAAATGCGTCCGTATTGGAGGAGTGCGACAACATACCCCCAGACGTTTATGCCGTTTTATGAGTATGGCAAAAAGGATGGAACCTAGCATTAAAGCTAGAGAGGGGAATATTTCTTTATTAAATGTCATTTTAACTGGGCCTTTACTTATGTAACACTAGATATTCTTCTAAAATACAAAAAGCTCAAGGTGTTATTTTTTCGTCCGGGAGTAAATTGTAAAATTTGTATATAAAAACTATATTAAAAAATCCGTTACGTAAAAAGTTTTATTATATTCCAAAGAAAGATCATCCTCTTTCGTCTTTATGACTATAAGGTTTCCATTTTTCTAATGAACTTAGCTTCTGTTTGATTTTCGCCATGGATTTAACATATATTAATGATTTTTTAAATTATTATTGTTAAATTTAACATTTCTTGAAGATCTCTATTAGATGGCTGTATTTCTAAATAATATTATGTAGTTCTTTTCTGGCTGAACAATCTCACCGTACACTATCGTTAATTTCAATTAATTATACTTTTATCTAAAGTCTTAATTGAGATGAAAAAGTTAGTGTCACGAGCGGGATTCGACACACTAGCTAGCCGAAGGTCGTGGGTTCGAATCCCGCTCGTGACACTAACTTTTTCATCTCAACCAAGACTTTAGTTAAAATTGTGATTAATTTATATAATCAATAGGTCAATTATCACCGCTAAACATATAAGGATTAATATAATAATTAAATGTATGTTGTTTAGTGACCGTTACTTGATGATTATTTGGGGGTCGTGAGATGAGGTCTGGTGTGACTGAGGTTTTAGAAAAACATTTTTTTCATCGTGCCAACGTTTCGATCTTTATTGAGATCATCTTCAGGGTTCAGAGTGTTTGTTTTCCGTGTAGATGTGTCAATCTTGTCTGTCGTGTTGAGAGTGCCATCTAATCTACACGGAAAACAAACACTGAGCCCTGAAGATGATCTCCATAAAGATCGAAACGTTGGCACTATAAAGAAAAGTTTGTCTAAAACCTACGTCACACTAGACCGCATCTCACGATCTACAAATAATCATCAACTAACGGTCCAATAATAATAATAATTAAAAAGAAGTAATTACTTCTCCAACAGGTCCCCCTGGCCACTTCATAAGTCGCTGAGGTTACTAACTTTTTCATCTCAACCAAGACTTGAGATAAAAGCATAATTAATTGATATAATTAAATAGTTCAATTATGAACGCGAAACATATAAGGACTATCGTTAATATGTTTTTGTATATTTAAGTAGAAATAAAGTAACAATTCTCCCCGAACAAGTACCATAAATAGTATTATAAAAGGTGCAAATGTACAAATAAACAGGCGTTTGATGGGATGCTTAGATGTCACACATAACGGATTTGCCAAAATTTAGATTTCCGAAATATTAGTGTATCACAAACATCAAAAAAGAGGGATTTTTCAGTTTTTCCGCATACTGAATACTACGTTTCTCTCCACACTCTTTTCTTAACGTTCAATTAACATAAAAGAATTCATATAATAAAAATATTTTAAAATTCAAACTACCAAATCATTTACAAATATTGGACAATTTCAAATATTGTCATTCAATTTGGTCAAGGGATTTCAAAGAAACTAGCGCCAAAAGAAGGCCGATTTTTCCATTCTATTCTCGTCTGTTTTATCAGCGTTGTTGGTTCTTTTCAAGTTTAACACCTTAAGGTTCTTCAAGATTGTTGTCTTTTTGGTAGAAATAATTTAAACATTACTATTTTTCTACTTATTATATTTATTTTTTACAATAGCAGTACAAAATGGTTGACTTATATATATGACTTGATAACATTTCACATGTTATCTTCACCAACCTATCCTAAATTGGAATTTTACTCGATTTTAGAATTACAAAATGTACTTTTTCGATCAGTGTTTGAGTAAAATCCGTGTAAAATAAACAGCTAAGTTATTAGGAAATTAAAATTATTGAGCAACGATAAAAATTAAAAAGTGCATGATTAAATGCAATAGATTTAAGTAACTAAGTAGTAACACTTTAAGTAAGTGTGCAGATTGTGAATCAACAAAAACAATTTAAATAGTGTTTTAGAATTTTTTAACATTGCAGTTTCTGATTGATTTTTATTTGTAAATCTTGTTTCTGGACAACTGTTTTGTTCTAATGTTAAAAATTTATAAATAGTTTATAAATTTTTAAATGGCACGTCTGTCTATGAAAATGCAAGATGAAAATTTAAGTAAAGGTTTTTAAGTAGCACATGAAAACCGTTTAAAAATTTTTAACAGCTAAAACATTCCGCGTGGATCTCTCCATCTCGTTGAACTCTTATGAGGTAGAAACGTTCCCTACAAAATAATTACTACTGGTAACTTTTCTACAACTCAATTATGAATATTTTGACAGTTGCCAGTCTTCCTTGATGAGATCCGCCGCTTTTTCACCGATCATGTATGCAACGGCTTGGGTGTGTCCTCCTGTGATGGTGGGCATGATACTGGCGTCGGCGACCCGAAGCCCGACTGTGCCGAACACCCTAAGTCTATGGTTGACCACATTTCCCATCTTGCAGGTGCCAGATTGGTGGTGCCACTGGCTGGGAAAAGCCGTCACGACACATTCCCAGTATTCGTCGGAGCCGAAATCGTACTGGACGCACTGTGGGAACGGTCTGTCCCACAATTTGGCCCCATATTTCTGAAAAGAGGGCGACGTTGAAAGCACTATGGCCATTTTGATCGCTTCGACGAGAATGAGCCTGTCGATCCTTTCCGTGAGGAAGTTGTGGTATATTCTAACTTTGCTGAACGGGCTGTTATCCTTGAGACGGACGAAACCTCTGCTCTGTGGATAAAGGAGCATCGGCCATATGGAAAACGTCGACTTACCGTCGATAGCGCGGAACACGTAATCGTAGGTTTCATCGTTCATGCCGAAGGTTTTCCTCAAAAGTACCCCGGCATCTTCACTAAACGATGAAGCGACGAAAAGCAGTTCTATATCTGGGTAATCCTCCGTCGTATTGGAATACTTGGTTTTCAAGTAGGATATACCCTCGCAGCCGAGAGTCGTGAGGGAGCCTCTGCTTTTAACGAAGTAGTCCAACACGTTCGGAATCGCATCTCTGAAAATCTGCAGAGGTTGCAAAGATACGTTTTTATTCAAAATAAAACTAAGAGCGTGCATCCCTACGTGTTCCATAAGATTATCTCCAACTGGAAGATTCATCAAAACTGGAATTCCAATTTCTTCCAAATGGTCCGCGTGTCCGATCCCGCTCAGCATCAGCAATTGAGGAGAATTGAAAGCCCCAGCCGCTAGCACCACTTCTTTCTTAGCGTAGGCCGCGTGTAATTTTCCATCTTTAATGTAAGTGACGCCGAAAGCCCTTTTCGTCTCGTAGTCGATCAACACCTTGGCCACCCTGCTCCTCAAGCTGATGAAGAGGTTGGGACGACCTATTATCGGCTGTATGTAAGCCCTTGCGGACGTTTCACGTTCCCCGAGGATTGTCGACGACTGGATCTGAGAAAACCCAATATGGGAATTCGGATTGTTGTAGTCCACACGGCTGAACCCGAAAAATTCCCCTGCTTGCAAGAAAGCTTCCAGCAACGGTGACACGAATGGTACGTAGGATATGGACAGATATCCGTTTCTCCCGTGATAAGGTGAATTTCTGAGCTCCTTTATGGTCATCCTCTCGATTTTATTAAAATAGTGCTTTATTTCGTTGTAACTCCATCCTGTAATACAAATTCAACTTTAAAACGTAACAAACATGTAAATATATTTTTACGATTGCTATTTCTGTATTTTGTTTGTAAGTTTATTTTTAATTTCGATGTTCAAGGCATCAAGGCACCTAGAAAAAACTATTTATTTTGGTTTTATAACCGTAATAAATGTTTACCCAGTTAATTTGTTATTGGAACGGTGACACTGTGGGTATTTTAGATTGGTCATGATTACAACTTGGGAATGTTCATGTTTGAAAAAGCTAATTTGAACATTACAAATACAATTTAAAAAAATGTTATTTTTAAAATTGATTTTGAAATAGTGAGAGAAGATGTGTATTGCAATGAGTCGAATCAAATTGAGACAGTGTCTTTTACTCAAGCATTCAACTTTGCAACGTCAATTAGTTGAAACTAGTAAAATATTTAGAAAGTAAAATTCATCACCTGGGTTTCCTTCGGCAGCCCAATTGTCGTAATCCCTGAAATTTCCCCTCGTATAAATCATGCCGTTCAAGATAGTCCCGCCTCCAGGGCCCTTTCCAGAAGGCCAAGGGCATATGCCTCCGGTCATAGCTGGAACCGCAAAAACTAACCTTACAAACTTTCTACCACTCATCACTCAAAGTAGGTGAATTAAAAACGCCAATCATGATGCTCGGCGAGTTAAGAATGATTAAGAGTACTACGATGTTGAATGTTCCATTCAAACAAATTTCTCGCGAGTAATGGGTAGGCAATTTATCAAAATATTAAGCTATTATCCAACGATTATTTGGAGATCGTGAGATGCGATCTGGTGTGCCCAGGGCACTCTCAACACGACAGGCAAGAATGACACATCTACATGGAAAACAAACACTTAGAGCCCTGAAGATGAACTCAATAAAGAGACTTGGCACAATAAAGAAAATGTTTTTCTAAAACCTACCAGACCGCATCTCACGATCTCCAAATAATCATTGGTTAACGTCACTAAACACCACGCGTATTATCCAACCTTAAGGATTATTTCATTACATAGATTTTTCTCATGCGTAACTGACCTGTACATACACCTTTGGCCAATTCGGGATAAAAGGCCCAATTGTAGTCGGAAATGAGAATATACGGGTTTAGAGCCGGGATGTCCGTAATGACGTTGTCTTCCTGACCAGCCTCCAGTAAAAGGACAGTAGTGCGGGGTTCTTCAGTCAACCGGTTGGCGATTACGCACCCAGAAGGACTCATGCCGACGACGATGAAGTCGTACTCGTTCAGCTTGGGCTCCTTGCCGGCGTACGTGACTTCCCGGGTTAACTTCGTCGATACGTCTAGGAACCTCACGGCTTTCTGAATCCCACGTATTGGTGCCTTGAAAATATCAAGGGGATTAAAACTAGTCGAGTTGGGAAACCGTGTAAAACTGTACCAGTAGATTGTTGATCACGTTTTCCACGAATAACTCGATCGAGAAAGCCGAACATGGCACTAATACCCAAAGCAGAAAGACTGCCCAATTCATAGCGATCTGGAACCATGCATCTTTTTCAAATCTTTCAAAAACAATTCAGTTAAACAGTGAAATAATAAAACTGATTTATAACATGGTGGACCAAATTGTGTAATTCATAATTTATCCTCCATTTCGCCTTTGAATCACGGATAAAAAATGACGTCCTGTCCTGATAAATAATATCGGAATTCTAAACAAAGATGTTTGCATGCAATATACTGTATAAATTTAACTTACTCGAATTGTCTTAATTTTGTTAGATATAAGTTGAAAAACCGTGACGTAATATTTGTGTATACGATTTTTATCCAAAAATCAACACTTGGGATTAAGATTTCTTGCGTAATTCATTTTCACTTTAATGATTTAAAATAAAAAGTGGTTTGATTGGTTTTTTTCCGTAATCCAGGAGTTGAATCTCTGGCCACTTTCTAACAGTTACACATATGCACTCAGTCAATCTCTCTGTCTGCCTGTCTGTCTGTCTGTCTGTCTGTCTGTCTGTCTGTCTGTCAGTCTGTCTGCCTGCCTGTCTGTCTGTCTNTCTTCCTCTCTCTCTCTCTCTCTCCTCTCTCTCTCTCTCTCTCTCCCTCACTCACCTCTCACTCACTTTGTGTGATTAAATAAAACCATCAATTAATCTCTCACTTCTCTCACTCACTCTCACTCCTATTTTTTTAATCTCCCGTCTTAACAAACAACTTTTCTATGTCTGAGTACAACAGCCAAAAGCTATCAAACTAAAACGAATGGCACTATTAAATTATTAATTTATTCCTCCATGTGACTGTTTGAGTTAGAAAGGTTGGTAGTGAGAAATGATTTCTCATTTGTATTCATGTATAAAAAAAGGTGTTTTAACAACATACTGATTCTTCATTTCTGAAGATTTTTATTAGTGAACTTATTAACTTTATTTTCGGATATGAACTATTATATTATTCTGGTTGCATGAGTATGGCAAAATTTAAACTGATGTTAATTTAATTGATTTCATATGATAACTAGATAAATAATTAGGAATGGCAAATGACCATCTTTTTTTTTAATCCATTTGTCATAGAAAGTTCCAGCTATATTGTGAACATTTCCGTTCCAATTCATGACATCCTGGAAATGACATTGACTCAAGGTATGAATCCGGCTCATAAATCTTTTATAATCTTCGTTGATTTCACTTTCATCCGTGATTTTGTATACATTATTTTTTTTTACCTACAGGTAAGACAACCAATTACATTGCTTTAGTTTCAAAACGTGTATATAATGTTTATTAAAAAAATAGGAAAATTGAGCATTAAACTAGGATTTATTTGAAACATTATTTGTAATGTGGAAAATTCACAATTAACGGGAAAAAATCATTACTGCTTTAAACCACGTTTAATTCAATTTCTTTTATTAAATACAATTTAGGCAAACCCGATCAAAAGATCGGATGGACTAGTCTATTGTTGAACACAGAATTGTTTAAATCAGAATGAAATTTTTAATGCTGTGGGGAAAATACGTGCTACAGAGCAAAAACAACTTTTTGATAAAGAATGTACAGCAAAAAAATCTTTGAAGTGAAATCAATAATAAAGAGACACATGGTAAAGCTGCTAACATATAGAGTATAAAGGACAAGGGGAAAATTCCTCTATTCCGATTATGCAACACAAGCCATTTCAAGTTTAAAAAATAATTACGTTTTATCAGATTGGATATTTTATGTGTTGCAAATTCATTCTTAATGAGCTTATTGTAGATTAATAGAGTTTAATTGACATATATAAAGTATTTTTGTTGTTAATAACATTCCTTTAAGGCTTTGTGTTGGTTTGTAACGAGCAATGTCCGAAGGAAAATAAAAGGCTGTAATAATTTTCCATTTTTACTAACTGCACCAATTTTTATTATTCTGACTTTTCTGCCTTTTTAATTTAGTTTCGATTTTTCTTTCACTTTCTCCNTCTCACTCTCTTTGCCCTTTTTTTGTAATTTGAAATATTTAATAAAATTATCTACTTTTAGTTGTATTCTATTTGTAAAATAAATTGTATGTAGCATAACGCACGTTAAGTTGAAGTAAGATCCACCAGATCTAACTTTGCATGGTTAAATAAATAGGTTAATCAAACAAACTCCCTTCCTCCTTTGTTTTCTTTCGTCTCGCTTTCCCCTTCAATATTTCTTATTTTATCTCTTCCCTCTTTCTACATTCATATCTACTGACATTTTTGTCACTCGTCAGATCAGATTTTCTTAACTGTTTAAGTTAAAATGAATACTAAGGTGGAAGAGCGATTGATAAAAACGAGGTAAAGAGTAAGAGAGATACGAAACAGAAAGAGTAAAAGAATAGCTAGAACTAATTAGACCGAAAGATAAAAATATATAATAAGGGAGAGATTGAAAACGAAAGGAAAGCGATAGAAACGGGGACAGGGATAAAACATAGAGAGGGTGAGAGAAAAAAAGAGAGATTGGGAAGGATAGGAAAAGGAATAAAATGAAGAATGAGATCTTCCTCGAGGGAGATCGCATTCTATTACCCATTTCTTGCCCTTTCACATTCTTGTTTTCTCTTTCCTTCTTAACAAATATCTTCTTAATTTTGAAATGATAAATTCTCAAATTAACGATTAATTTTTCTAAATTAATTTTGAAGGTTTAATTTTTTGAAAATAGAAAGTAAGGGAGGAAAGGGCGGAAGGCAAAAGGTATGAAATTACGGAAGAAGTCCTGACACAAGAGTAATGAGTCACTTTCAGAAATTCACCTGCTGGAGTCGTTTGCAAAAAGTAAGTGTAATTAATTATAAGTTGTAATTAAAGCCTTCCTTCCGCAAAATTAGTCATGCGGGACTTTACTGGTGAACTAGTTTCCCACTTCCCAAGTGTTCAATAGAAGGACAATAAACCCCGCAACAACAAAAAAATTAGGCGAACTTTTGTACTGCAGGAGTAACTCGCGCCACTGAGAAAGTTGTTTGACTGGCTGTAAAGAAAGTGAAATGTCCGAGAAGGCCGAGCCTCTTTCGGCCACCGGACAGACCCCGAGGTTAAAGTCAAGGCATGCAACTTCCCAAAGATCAACAGCCTTTCTAGAGTTACGCCGATACTACTTTTTTAAACAGCCGAGCAGACGAAATTTGGTCAAATTAGTTTGTTTTTTTTTCAACGTAATATCTTTCAGTAGTAAAAAAAGCTTCTTCCGTTGTTTAAAATTATAGATGATTTTCGAAATAAAGATTAGGCTTGATGGCTTGAAACTTTTTAAACATCATATAAAACAGATTATCAGAAAATCATTTGGCATCGTTGTTCATGACATTTTCTTATTATTTGGGAGGAAAACAGCTTTTTACCTTGTTAAGCCATTCCTAAGTTTTACCTAAGTAAGCATTTAAAACCTGATAACTTTTAAAATTTTCAAAATTCATGTAGGACTATTGAATTGGCTTTCGATGACGAAAAAACGGAATACTTTAGAGTCAACAAATTAAGTTTAATAGTGCTATAAAGTTATAAGCCAAAAGTGGACACATTACCTCTCATTTGATACTCTTCGGTTTTAAAATGTATCGAGATTCTCTGGTCTGCGGAGTGATGAACTTTCTGGAAATTTCCGATCATTTTGGTCTGAATTATATCGACTTCTCGCCATCTTCAGTTAGTGGGTATGTGTGATGTTTTTTTGTTTTTGTTTTTTGTTTTTTATGTGCAGTCCCTTTTATGTGTGTAGACCGACTACGATGATCAGAACGAAATACAGTTCTGACCCAACACTGAAACGCGACAGACCAAAACAGTCCGATGATAGGCCAGAATTTTCGGAAACGACCAAACTACTTACACCAACAAATATACACCGTTGAGAATGATTTTAGGCGCGTTAATTGAAAAGACGTGTTGGTATGATTGAAAAAAATTAACTAAAAAGACTTTCTGTGTGCATGCCTGTTTTTGTACACTTTCACTTGAAGAAAGGTATAACCTAGCGTGCAAGGTATGTAGACCGCTAGCTCGCGCGAAAGGCATCTTCCATTATCATCCATTGTCTCCTCTGCAGTTTTCGTAACTATTATCTTTACTTTATCATTACTAAAAAGATAAAATAATTATTTATACGTTTTGCAAAATCCGACGGCTAATTATTGTTGCCTATTATTGCACATGATTCTAGAATCGACGTGAAGTTTAACCAGCTTGACATTGTCATTGAATAAAACAAGTTTTTAAAATAATTTCTTAAAACTAAAAATAAGTAGGCTAATATACTACTTGGAATTTTATAAACCGCTGTTTACAATTGATTAGCTTGAAAAATACAATGTTGACGATAGTATTTATAGTTGGTGGGTAATTATCAGGGTAAAGAATTCTATTTTCTAATCGTCGCCAATGAGCTTAAATCCCTGTCTTAATTTTATGAAATTTGTTTACATTCGTACAAATACTACAGGCCATCATACACTTCGATGATGCTATCCTATTGTTTTATTTTTGTACTTTCTATTCTATGTTTAGTGTTTTATTTCAGATTAAAATTGTTTGTCGATGTGATAGATAAGCTAAGATGCAAATGTTTTTGTTAACATCCAAAGAAAATAAACTAGAACAATGTGTGTATCAGTCTGTTTTGTCTAGTTAAAGTATCTACAAGTGTTAGGAACCATTGAAATTTTTAACCATTGAAACACGATAAATTTTTGTATGGCTTTGCAATAGAAAAAACAAAAATAAGGTCAATGTCTATCTCAGTGTTCTTGCGTTTGTTAAAAAGCAGAAAAAACTAACTAAAGTAAGTTGTACAAAGGGGACTTGATCCAAGAGAAATAGGGTGAAATTCTATAAATTTATTTAATAATTCGTGTCTGCCAATGTAAGAAAAGATTTGTGAAAAGTCATATTTGTTATTGTTTTGTTTAAAGTTAGGAAGCTTGACATGATGTTGTCACACATGAGTGATTAGAAGATAGCTTGGCCTAATAAAGCATCACAGTTAAAAAAAGTAAACCCTTACCTCAATGCTTATCAAGAAAACTGATCACACATTCGTAATAATATGCTGACACGATAACATGATGAGGCACGCACAAGTGTGTGGGTTCAAGTACAATCCGCCTCTTCCGTTCGAAAGGCGGCAAGAGCGGTCCAAACCTCTTCCCCACCAAAGGATCGCTTTTAGAAAATATTTCAGCCGGCGAATTTTGCCCCTATCCGTCGATCCGGTCTTGGCCGGTAGGAAAGAAAGTATGCACTGTCCACTTCTTCCTGGGTCCCAAATGCTTTCGAAGTATTGGAATTTCGCACGCATAGAAAGCGAAGAACGGAACAAATTCCCCAAACCTTTGTCTTCACGTAGAGCGGAAATACTATCTGGAAAGATCGGCAAAGTACCTTTGAGCTTAAAGCATAGATAAACATAATAAACACTAATTAGCATAGAACTAAACTATATACAATACTTGGGAAATACCAACCTTAGAAATTAAGTGGTATGCAGTTTAAAATCTTTTCTAAATAAATTCAGACTTTCCCTTATCAATTGTTTAATATTCTCAATGTCTTTATTCAAAAATTTAATTGTAGTATAGTGGTTCACGTGGGACTTTGTTTTGAATTTCACGATATTGGACCTTACATCAATATTTATCAATCGCTTACCAAAGGACAGGTCGTTTAAAAAGATTTACAACAAAAAATACAATAATTACTAAATTTATCGATGTTTAGTTTAATTGTAGAAGAATATTTATATTTTTAATCAAATAAGTCAAAAATGTTAATCAACATTTTTTACGAGGGTTCCAACAACAGAGGTCATATAACCCGTCAGTGTACCGGTGTTTTTGAAGAAAAAAAAACATTTGTAGGTATGTCGGATTTGAATGCAGGGCCGCTGGATTTGAACCCGGGACCTTGACCTTACAGTGATGAGCGCCGTGTCAACGCCCAAGCCGATGCGGCCAGCGACGCCCCTATCAATATTTATTTATTAAATTTTATGTTCTTGTCGGTTTTACATATTTTCTTTTAATATTTTTCAACCACAGGTCAGTGTTATAAAAAGCGCAAAGCACTCTTTTATTTTCATTAAGTTTATAAAATAAATATTACAATTGAGGAACCAAAGATGGTATGAAGTCAAAACCCTATGATGGAAGGAGAACAACAAGTCCGAGAATAGACGGACCCAGAAAAAGTTATCAGTGTCCATCAGTGTGCCATTCAATTTCAGTCCAACCGACCAACTTTAGTAATATAGAAGGCCAGAGACGAGACCAATCCTACCGGCGTTCCACATGGGAGCATCTTGTTCCATTACTACTCATACTTCTGACCTGTCGATACATCCGCCATCTTTATAACCTACGCGGATAAATCAGTAATTTTAACTCCTAGAACTTCGATATCCAGAAGGATCTTGAGCTCATTAAGAAATGGTGCAAAATGTGAAAAAATGAAACCGATCTAGGAAAAATACTTCCAATAGGTTCAAGTCCAATAAAATGCCATGTCTACGGGGGTATCCTTTTTTAAATGGCTCATTTAAAAAAAACAATACGTGTTTAATATGTTTTAGTTAAGTTTCAAATTTTTACCTTTTTTGGAGAAAAATTATACAGGGTACCTCAGGTTCAGTTCAACTTCTCAATTTCAAATACGACACTATACATCACATGTAATTTTAAAGGGTGTTTTACGCTGCAAACAATGGTGCAATCGGGTTTAAAGTTGGTCAAAAATGACAAAGTCATAGCAAAAAACTTGGAAAAAACAGTCATCTGGTTTGCTGTTTATTAATCACATTTCATGTTCCAACTGCCTGCCTTGCGTAAAGATGCAAAGATTTGCGCTTTTTAACCAATCTTCACTGGTGCTCAAAGCGATTGAGTCAGGGGAGATAGATTGACAAGCATTTTCTATCCTTTGCCGCACTTCTTCAACTGAGGTTGCTGGGTTATGATTGACGTAGACACTGTTTTTTAAATGCCCCACAGAAACTAATCAAGTGGAGTTAAATCGGGTGACCGAGGAGGCCAACAGATCGGGTCATGAGGTCATATCCACCTATCGCGAAAGGTATGATTCAAATAACGTCCCAACTGCAAAGAATTGTGTGCGGGGCCTCCATCAAGTTGGAAAATCATTCTTTGTCGTTGTTGGAGGGGACAACAAGATAGAAAACTGGCAAGGAATCTCTCCCCAAAACTCAAGCGACAAGAACTAAACGGAAGATTTGAACAACTACGAAGATTTCTAGCACCAACACATCCTACATTTACACGACTATAAACAACAAATTTACATGTACAAACCAGTTCTTCGACCTATTTGGGCATACAGAACTGAGCTTCGATGTACCACTGTCATCTAATGTCAAACTAATTCAAGCTTTCCAATCAGATTGTTAGAAGAATCAAGCTCCTTACTACGACTCTAACTTATCCAACCTATCCACAATGACCTTAACATTACTTCCTTAAAGAATTTATCCCTACCCTTTTCTCAAGTTTTACTCTAATCTTGCTACCCACTAGGTCTTCTCTACACGTGTCCCGCTTCTTGGCCCTTAGAAGAGCTTTGCAGGTGAATAATCTTGCTACCCATCCAAAATCTACTTCTCAAGCTCCATCCACTCTATCTACCTCTCATCCCAACACCCTTCACATAACCCGAAACGACGATGGTCCCGAAACCTTCCTGATTTTATTCCGATATCAAATTTCTGGCACTCAATCGGCTGTTTTCTTATTACACGTGTCAACTGGGTCCAGTGCTGGTGTTAGTGAAAGCGTAAAGAACTTTTTTTTTCTCGAACTAACACGATCTAACAGAGTTAACATGATTAACACAAAGATCGTGAAACCTCTATTGTCTTCGTTTCAAATAATAATAAATTACAAGTTAGGAAATTACAAGGTAATAAATAAATAAGACATATTTGGCGTTTATAACTGTTTATTTTGTTTAAGACATATTGCTTAACATTCTTTGAATGAAACAATACATAGAGGTAAAGCGAAATTCTTCATAAATTGAAATAAGTAAACGGCATAAAGCCGTTTCTAAGTATAACTAAAAACAAAATTGATTTGCTGTTTTTGTACTTAAAATTTATGTACATTTAAACAGTTATGTAAGTCCATAACAACTTTATATCGTAATAGTTCGCACTACAGTAAAAAGAGTTCTGTTACTCGAAGCACTTCTGAAGTTTCTTGAGGCGGGGTCAGTCTTTTTATCATTGTTTTATGGACAATTAAAATTAAATATGGCTTAAGTAAACAGTCCATAATTTAGGTAAAATAATCGACACTAAACTAATTACAAAAGCAGCATTTCTCTTAATAAAGCTATATTTTATATGGCAAATATTACATGTATGTACATAATTCGTCAATTGGAGTCATAGCAACGATTTAAAAATTATAGTTGTAATCAAACAAATCCAACGTATCTCCAAATTCCTCATTTCTTAAATGATTGCCCTCCAGTGGAGAAGTAAAGCCGGGCCGACCGTTGCAGTCCTGTTTTATGAGATCGGCGGCTTTTTCGCCGATCATGTACGCCGGTGCTTGTGTGTGGCCGCCAGTTATGGACGGCATTATGGAAGCATCGGCCACCCTGAGACTGGAGACACCCTTAACCCTAAGTCGCGAATCGACGACGGTACCCATTTTGCACGTGCCGGACTGATGGTGGAACTGGGTAGTGATCGTCCTCACGGCGCACTCCCAGTATTCGTCTGTACCGAATTGGTACGCCCTGCACTGGGGGAAAGGCCTCTTATAAAGCCGGGCGCCGAATTGCTTGAATGGCGGAGACTCGGCTAGGGCTATCGCGATTTTAATGGCCTCCACTAGGATCAGAGCGTCGATCCGACTGTCGAGAAAGTTGTGCTGAATCTTGACCTTGCTGAGAGGGTCTGCGTCCTTCAGCCTGACTGTACCCCTACTCTGAGGATACAGGACCATCGGCCAAATTGAAAACGTGTCCTTCCCGTCGATCGGTTGATACGTCTTTTCGTATGTCTCGTCGTCAATCCCGAATGTCTTCCTTAATAGTAGACCTGAATCTATGTTTAAACCTGCAGAAATGAAAAGCAGCTCGATATCCGGGTAGTCTTCTGTACTGTTTGAATACTTTGTTTTCATGTAGGCAACCCCTTCGCAACCGAGAGAAGTTAAAATTCCTTTGGTGCCGACTACGTACTGAAGGGCAGTCGGAAGGATCTGATCCACGATTCTAAAAGGATTGATGCTCACGTTTTGATTGATGAGGAAAACAAGGCCGTGCATTCCTATGTGTTCCATCAAGTTATCACCAACAGGCAGATCTTGTATCACGGGAATGTTAAATTGTTCCAAGTGATGTCTCGGTCCGATGCCGCTCAACATCAGAAGCTGCGGACTGTTAAAAGCGCCCGCTGATAGTATCACCTCTTTTTTCGCAAAAACTACGTACTCTTTGCCTTCTTTCGTATACACTACACCGTAAGCCCTTTTTGTCCTAGGATCAATCAAAATCTTCGTCACACGGCTTCTGAGAGTGAATTGGAAATTTTTTCTTCGTAAAATAGGTTTGAGGTAGGCCGTCGCTGCCGACACTCTTTCACCGTTCCTTGTAGTCGATTGAATCCGCGAAAAACCTATGTGAGAATTAGGATTATTGTAATCCACTAAGGAGTAGCCGTAATGCTTTCCAGCTTTAAGGAAAGCTCCTAGAAGGGGCGTTTCGAAAGGAACGTAGTTCAAAGGTAAATGCCCTGTCGTTCCATGGTATTTCGAACCTCGTAGATCATTGATCATCATGTTTTCCACTTTTCTGAAGTAAGGAAGGACGTCATTGTATTTCCAACCTGTTCAAAAACACAATATCAATCTTTATATTTTTTAAAGACTAGTCGGAACCAACCTGGATTTCCCTCCTTTTCCCAGTTGTCATAGTCCCTGAAATTTCCTCTCGTGTAGATCATCGCGTTCAAAATCGTTCCACCTCCTGGACCTTTTCCAGACGGCCATGGGCACTGTTCTTCGTACATTCCTTTAAAAAAAATTTAAGAAATCTTCGAAAAAACATTAAACAACCACGACTCAAGTTCAACTATGGCCAAATTGTCTATACCGGCACATGTGCCTTCCTTGAACTCCGCTGTGAACTTCCAATTCCAGTCCGTCAGAGCCATGAATACGTTGAGGATCGGGATATCGGTCAAAATGTTATCTTCATAACCGGCTTCGATGAGGAGGACGTTGACCGCGCTGTTTTCCGTCAATCGGTTCGTAATAACGCATCCGGATGGACTGGAACCGACGACTATATAGTCGTACTCTTTTCTAGTCGGACCCTTAGAAGCGTACACCCTTTCGGAGAATGTAGTGAACGGAATGTCCGCCACCCTTTTCAACCTCTTCAACCCCTTGACAGGAGGCTAGTACAATAATTATTAATTAAAATTTTTTTTTTTCGAGTAAACAATTAAAATCACTTACGAATAGATCGCCGACAATTTGCATGTTAGCATTTCCAACCGACAATTGGAAATAAATGACGAAAAATATCGAGCCAAATATAAATCTCGACATCGTGACCTGAAAAATTATTTTTAGAAATTTATTAAATTGAAAATATCACAAATTTGTGCATGTCTGAGTGTTTCTGTTGTATGAGCTATGCAAAACAAATGCTAATATAAACAGCTACCATTAAAAAAAATTTTTTGCTTTTTAATTTATTGAAAAAACTTGGGCACTACTAGTTTAATCTTGAATATATAATTTTGAAACTAAAGTGATTGATACCGTTTAAATAAAACTAATTGGAAAAACGAAAATATTTTCTTTTACTTGTTATATAAGATAGACTTATATAGACAATTATGATAGACTAATATACTCTTCTGGAGAAATGTCATCTGACATGAAATGAAAGTTAAATTTTACTATTGTTTCAGATCTACAAACAAACTTTATCGTCTGTGATATAACATAAAAGTTAATTAAACTATATTTTATTAAGACACTTACAGTTGTACTAAGAAGTGGTAGGTTTTGACGTTGACCTACCTACATGATTTTTAAGCTTAAACCAAAATAAACTTGGCAAATACGCCCTAACCACTTTCCGGTAAAAATTTAATTTGTTTTGTTTTTATTACACCCTGACTTTTAAAAAACTATATTTTAACGATTAATTAATCTTTATGAAAGCTATTGGTTGAGATAAAATAGTCAATGTCACGACCGGGATTCGAACCCACGACCTTCAGCTAAATACGACGCTGCTCTACCACTTGAGCTATCGTGACTTCGATCCATTCGGACACTAACTTCCCATCTCAATCTCACCTCTCGAATTTTCCCTCCTTTTTGCCATTTTTCAACTGTCGAATCCCGCTCGTGACACTGACTTTTTTATCTCAACCAATACCTTCCATAAAGATTAATTAATTGAAAAAAATTAATTGCTCAATCGGGCCACGAACTGTAATGGATATATTTTTAACATTTTCACTCATGTGCGCGTAGAAATTTTTTTTAACATGTTTCTACAAACTTTCTGTCTAACCTTTAACGTTAATTTCTTTACTGTTAACTTTTTCTCATTATAAAATGCAATCTTTTGTGTTTTTTATTAAGTTATTTAAATGTTGTGACTAGTAGTTTATATTTAAGAACTTTTCAATATTCTCCACATTATGAAAATGTAAACTTTAACATATTTTTAACCATATTTCTTATTATGTTCATTTGCGCTGCAGTTACCTGGATAACCACAATAAATCTTCTTCTTTCTGAATAAACTCCTGAATTCCACGTAAGTATCCAGCATGTTGCTACAAAATTGAATAACGGCTCTTTCTAGAGCGCGAGTAGGAATGCCATGTGAAATTATGAAAATTGTGCTTGAACACGAAAAGAGGGCTGGCTCCCCAAACGGAACCGTTTTATTGTATATAGTGATTGATAGATATTTGTAGTGTGTATTTCTTAGTGTGAATATGTACATAGAGTGAAAGAAACGAAGATCGAATATTAGATAACCCATTAACCGCCAATTACGTGCCCTAATTGAGTGGATGATATGCAAATAAGAAATAATTTATTTAAAAATGAGTGAGAGTGTGGTACGAATCGAACGAATCAGCCCTGCTCTATCAGCTTTTCTTGATTCCCTTTTCATTATGTGTGAAATTATTCTGCTGTTTCTTTTGTGTTTTCGTGAGTAATAAATATTTTGAATACCTGACATGTATATATTTTTTTTTAAATCGTGACCCCCTTATTTAACGATGTGAGCACAGTTAATAATTTAATCGTAGATTTATCAAAACATTTTATTGACTCGGAGCACTATTTGCTTCAAAAACGCCTAAAAGCGTGAATAAATGTCATCATAGAAGAATCGAATCGCTTTTATTTTTATTTTTCGAGAGAGAGAGAGATTTAACGTAAACATGAAAGGCAGCACATAAACAATGTAAAATATGCGAGCAATATGAAGTAAGTGCTTGGGTATAAAAAAGTAAGAATTAAAATTAATGCTTATTTTGAAATGTAGTCTTTTATTTTCAACATAAACCTTCATTTTTACATCGTAAAACGCTGTTCTTTTAGCACATTGTAAATTCTAACCACGCAATAAATTTTCAACATTGCATTAATTAAGAATTTATTTTTATTTCTTTCAAATATTCGCCTCTGGACTTTTGTTTACTCCATCACTCTTAATATAATTTTATATAAGTTTATATAATAACTACCGGTTTGTTGTCACGGACGAGAAGTCAAACCAGTTCACAAAATATTTTCTCCATATTATTAACTATTTTCAATTAATTAATCCTTATGCGAGGTTTTGGTCGTGGGTTCGAATCCCGCTCGTGACACTAATTTTTCATTTCAACCAATACCATACATAAAGATTAATTAATTGAAAGAAGTTATTTGGTCAATCGGACCACGAAATATAATGAATTATTAATAATGAAACATAAAAGGGCTATGTCGGGATTTGAACACAGAACTGCTAGACTGACAAATACGAGTCATTCAAAAAATTTTGCTAGTTTTAATTTAAAAAACCCTAACAAATGAGAAATTATTGATGTGATAACATTGAAAGCCTTTGAATTTTCTACCGACCATATGAATAATTCAATTATAATATAAGTTTTTGGTCAAATAAAAATAGGAATAATTATGAGGAAAATGCCAAAATTATCTTATGAAAATGCGGTATGTATCATTGTTTTGTAGTTTTACATAATAAATGTCTAATTACCTGGAGAATTTTAATATCCTACGATGTGTAGAATACAAATTATGGCCACTATATTATCACTAATCACAATTATATTTCTATAGTTATTTTCGACTTGTTCGAAACCTACCAAAACTATCGGTTTCATTTTTCAAAATTAAACAATGTAATGTAACGGACCTTTTTAATTGACAGTCGAATAGTTGTTTAACCATGGATTAGTCTTCGATGTGGTCGCGTCCTTTTGGAAAATCGATCTTCTACTATTTATCCTTCGAGCTGAGCTGCCTATTTACAGTACAAACTGCGTGAGTTGTAAAACGTAGTGCCCAGGCGGGAAATGGGCCCGTATCATTTCGCGTTCCGTTAATCATCCCCTTGGGGCCAAATCCTTAACGACATCTTGTGCATCATATTCCCGGAAAAAATTGTTAATCTAAACGACCCGACAAAAGATTTCCAATTCTTTATCTTCGGCCGTATTAGGAAGGCCTTTCATCCTTAACGACGCTATAAGAGTTTCAAAACAAGGAATTGAAGTAGTGAAAACAATCAAAAATATTAACATTACGATATCTGATAGTACGTCGTTAAATAAACAAATATGCCATTTTTATATGACACTCACTTTCTCCATCGCTCTTTCACTTACTGTCTTACAAACTAACACACTCTTTATCTCTCATTCTCACATTGTCAGATCTTCTACGTCATATAGTTAGGACTCTGTCTTTCTCTCAAAAAAGGAATCAACTCTAACTCACTCACATGAATAAGAAACCTTACCTTAAAATATTAAGTCATAACATTCTCCAAAGAAACTAAGTATCAAGCAAAGACACTACTAATCAATGGCCTGAGATTAGGCATCAAAAACTGGGGAATAAGCCCCAGGATGGCGATTTGTTTATAAACCACAACGGCCAGACCCCTGGTCATACATGAAGCTCTAGTATGGTGGCCAAAAGCACTGCTTAAGAAGACCTAAAACAAACTGCATTGTATATAAAGACGCTTATCTTAACATAATAGGGGCGAGGCATACTCTACAGCAGCGATGAAAAACGTACCCTTACACATTCTTGCACAAAAAGTGACTTGCGTAAGTGAACTCCTGAGATACCAAGAAAAACAACTAGATCTAAGGAAAAATCATGACAAAATTCTAGAGAGAATTAAAATAAATGAAATGGCTACACCGGTATCTGTCAAAATGAGAGAAAAAACTTTGACAGGCCCTTCCAACTGGACATAGAGATCATTAGAAGAAAGACAACCCCGAGTTTCAGTAAGGAGCTCTAGGTCATACATGAAGCTCTAGTATGGTGGCAAAAAACACTGCTTAAGAAGACCTAAAACAAACTGCATTCTATATAAAGACGCTTATCTTAACATAATAGGGGCGAGGCATACTCCACAGCAGCGATGAAAAACGTACCCTTTTATATATTATGCAGGGTGGGCGACCAAGACCCGAGGGGTTAAATGCCTGGGTAGACTCGTACACCATCCCTAATAGGAATTCTAGAGAGAATTAAAATAAATGAAATGGCTACACCGGTATCTGTCAAAATGAGAGAAAAAAACTTTGACTGGCCCTTACAACTGGACATAGAGATCATTAGAAGTTTCAGTAAGGAGCTTTAGGTCATACATGAAGCTCTAGTATGGTGGCCAAAATCACTGCTTAAGAAGAACTAAAACAAACTGCATTGTCTATAAAGACGCTCATCTTAACATAATAGGGGCGAGGCATACTCCAAAGCAGCGATGGAAAACGTACCCTTATATATATTATGCAGGGTGGGCGACCAAGACCCGAGGGGTTAAATGCCTGGGTAGACTCGTACCCCATCCCTAATAGGAATTCTAGAGAGAATTAAAATAAATGAAACGGCTAAACCTTATCTGTCAAAACGAGAGAAAAAACTTTGGCAGGCCCTTCCAACTGGACATATATAACAGAGATCATTAGAAGAAAGACAACCCCGAGTTTCAGTAAGGAGCTCTAGGTAAAGATGAAATAGTGATCAGGTTGTAGTAGAAATATATAGGTATAGAAGAAATAGGAAGGACCTTATTACTATCTAGTAGACACCCTTTGCAGCAAAATATCTTTCAAGCTGAGCTCAAAATATCGTTCATACTGGGTGCAAGGGAGTTGATAAAGAAGTAAATGACAGCTGTACGAATTTACTATTTTCTGACAGCCATGTGGTGCTACAGAGGCACAAAATGCGTACGCTTTTAGCTCCAAATTAATCTGGGAATGCCTATATTGTATAATGGTACAAGGAAAACACAAAGTTACCTGTGGTATGGTACAGGCCGACCAACTAAGAAGGGGCAGCCTCTCATTGATGGGACTGCAATCACAACTAGATTTACCGGAGGGTGTGCTAAAGTTACACCTAGAAAAATAGCCGGAGAGAGAAAAACTCAAACACGACAAATGTACCAGGTATTAGGAAAGCTAAGAGATTTATAAATCTCTCAAAAAGAAGGTGAAAGATCTCCACTCTATCAGCAGGCAAGATTTGAGAAATATTATAAATCGGCCACTACCATCTTAGCTACCACCAAAAGATTTTAAACAAAGTAGACACAGAAACATGTGAAAGGAAACCTCATATTTTTTGCGAATGTGAGGCACTAGCCTTGTGCAGAGTAGTCACTTGGACAAGGCGATTCTTATACCCAGAAAAGTACGCGATGTAGTACCTTTGAAGAAAAAAATAAACTTAAATATTAACAAATTAAAAATATAAGAAGGGGAATGAGAAGAAATTGTTTGATAGAGGAAGGAGCCAAGAAAGTATATCCCGCGATAGGAGGGAACAGACATTTCAAATCACGATACATACTAGAGATCTAGACATATGGGATCTCTTTGGATAGCTAAATATGAATTGAAGAAAGCATTTTATGAGCTGTAGCTCTTGAATCTGTTAGCAAGCTCGCAGGTGAGTCCACCGTAGTAGACCAACCAGCCATAATTGAAATGGGGAAGCACACGGGAGTTTTTAACCCAGGAGTTTGCAGATACCGACTGGGACGAATTGGCTTGCATGACGGAATTGGCGGACGGTGGAGAAGCAGCATTGTGAGATTTGGGAAATGTGAGGTTTCCAGGATAGGTTTGATCAAGGACGATCCCTAGGTTTTTGACAGATGGGAATCCTTTGGTATCCTTTCTTGGCCTCTCCTCCAAAAAACTAATTCTTCATCTCTCATCTTCAGATCTTCCACCTCAGTATCTTCTTTATTCGTATCTGTCTTTCTTGACACTTTCTCTTTCACTATCTTTCTATCTAACTATCCATCTATCTCACACAATCACTACTCTCTCTTCCTTTTTCTGTCTACTTCATTTTTCTCTCAATCACTAATTGTACTCCTGTTTTCGCTCTTTCTTTCAATATATCTATAACAACTTTTTCGGTGTCACAGNTTGAAAGTTAACATTGCATAATCACACGTTTAATCATCCCTGCGGGGCTTCAGTGCCCGCAACGGTTATCACTGTAGGATAAAGGTCATGGGTTCAAATCCTGCAGCCGTGCATTCGAAACCGACTCAAACAAATGGACTTCTTTTTTTGGCAAAAACACCGAAACCCCGACACCCTGAGGGTTGATGGGCTGTAGCGAACCATTCTAAAAAATAATCATCCCTGTATCGGGTAATTTTCGCTTTTTTTCAAACTGACTTCTTCCTCGGTGGTTGTGTCGGTTTTTAGCTCCCAATTAACATCGTGCACAATCGCACAAACACAGATAGCCTGCACATATTCCATCTGCAAGTGATATTATGATCCAACAAAAAAGTCATTACGTTATAATTTCAATAAATATTTATAAATCTGTTCAATCTTTTGAATATAGCAAGAATGATTTTATTTTAAAGATAAACCTTCTACCTGCTTTCTTACTTACTACTACTAAAGTACTTAAATAGGCAGAGCTTCTAAACTACCTGCCTATCTATGTATCTATCCATCTATCTCTTTCTATCACTGAGACTTTTTATTTCAATGTCTTTCTATATTTTATCTCTGCTGTTTATCTGTCTTTCTCTCTATTATCTACCCATCTCTTCCTCCATCTTTCCATCTATCTGCATTCTCTGTACTTCTCCTATTTCTTCATTTTTTCTCGTCTTCATCTCTCTACCTACTTTACTATATCTCCTCTACATATATATATACCTGTTACCAACCTATATACCTATTTGTTTCTTGCTATACCTGTTACCAACCTATATACCTATTTGTTTCTAGCTATCCCTGTCACCAACATTTCTCACTTACTTTTTTCTCTGTTTTTCTCCCTTACTCCCTTTCGTTTCGTCATCTCTTCAGTTTTATTCTTTTGTACGTCCTTATCAGTTGAATTTATTAAGTGTCAAAATTCAGACCCTTGTGCCTTTATTATTCCTCATATCTCAAACATTCAAACTTTTCCCTTCAAGCAAGGAGGATCCTGGGCAATATCTTCCGCACCGATTTCTAATGGCCAAAAATCACTGTATTCCAGTTACACGGAATAATCTGTCACGCAATACGAACAACCTCAGAAAACGTATTTTCTATTATTATATTGCTTGGAAAAAAATTCAGCCAACGTAACGGCCTTAAACCTAACTATTTTCGTTAGCCTAGCCCGGTTTTAATTAGGAGCAGTAAATGCGTACTACGGTATCACATTATGCGGTCTACTTTCCCCATTAAGAATGAAAAAGTAACAGAAAGAATCACACATCTTCTAAGTTTCACTGTTACTTAACCAATTATATAGATGAAAATTCTCTGGATTTAGAAAGCCTTCTTTCCTTATTGACTGTCTGGAATATCAACTTAGTGTAACAGAAAAATAGTTGCCTCGTGACGCTGGCGGAAGTACGTGCCACATCAATCTATATTATTATCTAAAAAACGGTTATTATATTATCGTAGTATATTCTTCCAATGGATCGATGACACAGATCAAGACAATATAATGTTTTTTAAAACATGCTTTGTCTTTGATTTTAAAAAATTGAAGAAGTCTTGTTTCCCTCTAAGTCCTGCAAGAGTTAATCTTCTTTGAGAAGAAAGGATAATTCCTACTTATCACTTCTTAATTCAATTTCCTAAAGCAAGCGTTTATTCCGGATGGCCGACGTTTCGGGGTTTGTCTTTTTTTATTTTTTATATCGCCGCTTAAGAATTATTCATCCGCCAACCCATCTAACTAGTAGTCCATGTATCAACTTATTCATTTCAATATTACAATTTGGAATTCGAACTTATAATTTTTTATTATTACGCTAATTAGTCAAAATGTAATGTG